ATATATATATACACCAGTAATCTGAGAGTAAAAATAAAAAATATTTACAGATTCTTGTATACAAATTTACCTTTCCAGTACTTATTGATTACCATAAATATACAATCATCTATAATTATAATCCAACATTATCCTTTGTCTCTCTCCCATCGTTTCTGGGTCCAATCATACCACTTATTCCAACTACCATAAAAGTCTGAGTCTCTTTTACCCTTGATCAGTTTTGTAAGTCTGTCGGACTCTGCACATTCCATGATTTTATAAATTATTTTTGCATCCGTTGGTATGTTATCAGTCATTCTTAATTATCTTCAGTACTAATTTTATAGAGAATCCTCTATTCAGTGGCTGTTTGGAATCCAAACACTGAGCCATGAACTAGCCAATCACATTTAACTGCATCATATGAACCCACCTGTGTGTGTAATGTTGAAACTGGATTAGCTGAAAAAAAACCATGATCAAGTTAATCATGGTGCGTAAGTCATGTGAATACAGCCAGATCCATTTACAGTTTGACCTTAAGGTTGAACCAATGCCAAGACATTTTAAAACATACGGTAATGTACCAACCTAGTTCAGAGTGCAACTTTTGTGGATTTACTGGGAGCATTAAAGATTATAATAATAGCTGACTGCCGGTTTGGTGCAGTGATTAAAACATCAGCTAGAAATTGGGAGACTGAATTCTAGTCCTGCCTTAGGCACAAAGCCAGCTGGGGGACCGTAGGTCAACCACTTTCTTTCAGCCCTAGGAGGCGGTAATGCAAACCACTTCTGAAAAACCTGGCCAAGAAAACGACGGGGACTTGCCCAAGGAGTCTCTGAGAATTGAACAGTAATAACAGCAGCTAATAAGGATTTGAAAGAAATGATGGAAAGTTCTGCAGAAAGGAAATTTGGATAGAAAAACCCTTATAACTATTTATGTATATAAAACAGGCATTATATTGGGAGGCAGGTTGGTTTCTAGTCACAGGAGGGTTGCAATTACCTCTTAGTTAAGCAGCCTAAGAAACTCACCAGGATACAGAGTCACAATTCTAATAACAGTAAAATGAGGACCCAGGTTGTTGGGGGCAAAATGCTGACTCTGTAAACTGCTTAGAGAGGGCTGTGAAGCACTATATAAGTCTAAGTGCTATTGCTATATTGGTGTTATATTTTTATATTTATGTTAGCAATTTACATTTTATTCTTATAGCATGTAGTTTAGAATGTTTGGCACAATGGAGTTGTTTTAATTTTTAATATTGAAAACAGGTTTTTTAAAAAAGTCAATTGGACTGAGATGGCCGGCTACAGAAATTGAATAAATGAATTTTGTTGGCCAATGACCAAAATGATGGAAGAGGAGGAAGAGGACTCTAGCTCTATTTCAACTCTCCACATGCATGGAAAAGTTGTGGGGGTTTTTCCTAAGAGTGCATTGTTTTTTTTAAATAAAGCTAAAATACAAATCCAGTTAGGAAATTAAACAGCAAATTCTGGATGTGACCCAGCAATATCCTAAAGCAGGGGTGTCAAACTCGCATCATCACGTGACATATTGCGACTGTTTTCCCCTTTACTAAAATGGGGGTAGGCGTGGCCAGCATATGACGCATCCAGCCCATGGGCCACAAGTTTGACACCCCTATCCTAAAGTATGGGGAAAAAACACACATATATACTGCAAAGGTTATCCCTCTAGATGACATCAGTGGCTACTCAATACAGTAGACTGTGGCCTGATTCATACAATTTGTTATGTTACATTATAATATGGATTGTTGGTTTTCACTTAGTGGTATTTGTATAGTATTGTTTATGGATTAATGGGTTGAATTAGGTCATGCAGTGTCACATTTTTTTAAAATGTGACTCCCAGTTAGCTGCAAATAGTCACACTAAATATGTATCGTATTGTAAGGAAAACTGACTTCAAAATAGCTTAACTGCTGTGAATGAACAAATATTAAAACATCCATCTCTCATTGCAGAAAAGGATAACATTGAAATCTATGATGATTATGAATTGAAAACAAGTGATGTGACTGATGATCACAACTGAAAATTTAAATATTTGCTTCTATTAGTCAACGCTGCTCATAACTAATCTGGACTATGTGATTTAAATAATACTAAAGATTTGTAATTGCAGGAATAATTACAAAATTTCAGTTTTTGTGCAACTATGTCAGCTGTCATGTTGATAACTTAAAAAGCTGCTGTCTCTTCATTAAACAATCAATTTAAACAGTGATAACTGAAGAAAGCAGTTACCATCATTTTCATTTATTCCATTATACCTTGAAATTTATTCTGGTATTAAAGTCTTCAAAACTCAATAAAAAGTCAAGTAGTTCTAGATATTAAAATAATAGGTACATTATTTCTAAGCATGTTTGAGAAGCAGAAAAAGAACAGATTTACTCTTACTTCAAAATCTCTCGTCAGCTAATCAAAATATTTCTAAATTTTGAGCTATCATACCTAAAGCAATTAAGCAGATTTCTCCAATTTATTTCAGTTAGGCAAGACTAGCTTTTGTGGTTTCACAATATTTCAGCAACCTTTGTGTTTAGTATAGTACTGACAACTGATGTTTAATTTACTACACTGGGTTGACCAATACCTATGCCTGCCAATATGTAACAGAAAATGCAATTTTTAGGAGGAATAAGCAGGTTTCTCCCAATTAATCAACCACTTTATGCAATTTTTATATCAGAATAGGCAGTAAGAAGCTGTAGCATATATTAGAGTATTTCACAATAGAAATACAGTTTCTTCTATAAATATTTCAGTTCTCATCCTTTAGAATAATGATAAGATACTAAGTGCCGCTCACCATTACTTTATCCAGGGATGCTCACTGCCTCAAAAATACCTCATCTTCATTCTACTGAAATGATGCACCAGACCTACCTACCTCTCTCTCTCTCTCTCACACACACACACACACACAAGATTTACAATAATGATTGGTGTTTGTGTATACCAGTGCTTTTCAACCCCATACTGGAGGAGATCCTAGCAATTGAACACTATTGCCCACTTTTAAGTTGCAAGGTTGAAAAACAGTGCCCTGTACCAATCTACTTCCAAAGCACATAGAAGCTCTGATCCCCTTCTTCATTCAACAGTTCCAAGTCTGCAGGTCCATAGTTACTGGAACATGCCGTTTAATAAAAAGGTGTACAATAGTCATTTCTATTTCATGGCAATGTAATGCTTCACAAAGCCTGAACAGTCACCTTTTCTCCCAGTCCAAACGTAAATATGAAACTCCACCCCCTTCTCACCTGTTATACAGTCCCCCTATAAGTCAACTCACCCACCCTCCCATTTCATCTCCTTCCCCCCCCAACCTGTGTCCTCTAGAAGGGGAGAAGGCTAGACTGCCATTCCCATAGCTCTCAGCCAGCACAGTAGAGGGTTGTGGGACTGGGGAGAATTGGGGAAGCCATAGTCCCAAACAGCTGGATGGCACCAGTTTGGGAGAAGGTTTAAGTCAGGGCTCAACTTCTTCATAAAGTTTCAGATGGTTTATTGACCCCCCCCCCCAAAAACACATGAAAAAAATTTTATAAATACTACTTTAATAGTACTAATTAATCTTGGTAGTAATTAATAGAAGACACCTCAAGGCCATTCTTGCTGGCAGCTGTCTTATAATAATAATTTTATTGTCATTGTACATGTGTATACACAGTATACCCATACAACTAAATTCACTTAACACCCAAAGACCAGGTCCAACACACTTATACAATCCTGGGTAACTCTGTCCCACTACTAGGCACCTCGCCTTCAAGATTAGGGAGTGGTCCTTATGGGGGAGACCCTAAAAGATTCACTGATCCCAATCATGTATTTATTTATAACCCACTATTATTTATTTTTTTAAATAAATAACTCAAGGTAGCAAACATACCTCTCACTCCGTCCTACTGGCATTTTCGACTGCTTATGAGCCCTTATCTTACGATAACGATGCTGATGATCCCTTATATCAGAGGTCTTCAAACTTGGCAGCTTTAAGACTTGTGGACTTCAACTCCCAGAATTCTCCAGCCAGCATAGCTGGGAGACTCCCAGAAGTTGAAGTTGGGAAGTTCACAGGGTGCATTGAAAATCTCCCTTCTTTCCCTTCCTCTTTCTTCCTTCTTTCCTGTTCCTCCTTCCCTTTCTTTCTTCCCTCTCTTTATTTCTTCCTTGTCACTATTCCTCCCTTCCTTTCTATTCCTTCCTCCTTCCCTCTTTCCACCCTTCCTTTCTTCCCTCCCTCCCTCCCTCCTCCTTCCTTTCTTCTTACTATTCCTCCCTCCCTCCCTCCTCCTTCTTCTTTCCCTCCCTCCCCAGAATTTCAGTTGGCTTCCCCATTTACTTTGCTTGTGGGAAGCTTGCAGGGAAAACGTCAGTGGGGAAGCCAGCTGGAAGTTGCAAGTCCGAGGCCAGTAAGCAGATAAAAATGACTGCTGTCCTGTGGAAGAGGGACCAAGGGGGACGTGGGCCAAGAAGGCTGTATGGGTATGAACAAAAGATGCAATGTGGGTTGTGGAGGGTACGTGGGTGGCTAACATAGGTCAGGAGGATTCCAGCATAGCTGGAGAATTCTGGGAGTTGAAGTCCACAAGTCTTAAAGCTGCCAAGTTTGAAGACAGAGCTCTGCCTTACACCGACTCCTTATTAAACCCCCCCCCACCCCCAGCCATTCACTGACAAACCCCCTCCCCCCTTTTGACTCCTGGTCATTTACGGTTCTTTTGGACAGTCGTCCCGTGGTGGTGGTCGATACTGACCCCTCTTGGACCCCCGGGTTGAAGGCCAAAGGGCGCCGCTTCTGAAGAGCAGCCCAGACACGGAGGCGAATTCTGAGGAGACCCCCAAGGGCCGCTCTCCCTCTTGAGCTTTTCGGGGGAGTAATGAGGCCTTGGGGGGGGGAGAAAGAAAGGCCTCTTCATCTCCTCGCCGACGTTACCGGAGCCCCCTCCCGCCCCCCCCTCCCGCCTCACCTGCGCTGCCGATTTCCATTCATGGACTCGGCGCGGCCGCTCTGTGGGATGAAAGGGGGGGGCCGCTCCGGTTCTTTCTCGTCTTCTGCTCGCGCCGTCCCGGTCCGGACCGGCCGGGCCTCAGGAGGCGGCGGCGGCGGCGACGACGGAGGATTTTCCTCCTTTTCTTCTTCTTCTTCTGCCTCGCAGCCCGAAGTCGCGTCGCCCTTTTCTTCTTGCGCTGCTACTGCTGATGCCTCGGACCCAAATCCGGCCCTTTTCGGTCAGCTGCGGGCTCCGGAGATAGCCGAGCAGGCGGAAATTGCGTGGCCGCCCGCAGCCCAGCTCGCCCGCTGCTCCGCCGGTCACCGACTGAGGAGGACCAGAAGAAGCCCAGCTCTGAGGAGAGCGGTCTTCGGCGTTTGAGGGGACGCGCATGCGCCAATTTGCACCCGTCCCCGCTCGTCCCGGAAATTCCCCCCCACACTACTTCTCAACTCTTTGGTTAGGAGCCGCTCTTCAAGCTTTCCTTGAAGCGCCTGGAGATAAGAAGGGGACGGTCTATACGTCTTACGCTCAGCGGCTCGCGCGCGTGCGTGTCTTAACTTCTGTTCCGGCCACCGGAAGTCCCTTCCTTGAATTCTGCTCTCTATAATTCCTTCCTCCCGCGCAAGTTGGCGCTTTCGCTCGCTGCGCACGCGCGAGCGTGTTGCTGGGCCGCTTCTGCGAAGGCGGCGGAGCTCCTAGCGGAGGAGGATGAAGCGGTTCTTATCACTTGTTGCTTGTTAGGCGGAGTGATCTAGTGATCGAGAGTTCCGAGTTCGAATCTAGCTTGCTACTGAATTATTTACTGGTAGTGACCACCAATAACAAACGTTTAAATGAGCAGCGGGATTAACTAGCGTTTGCTTCTTTAATCCTAGCGGTCTCTTCTGAGAATTTGATTTCTACAACCAGAATTGCTTCTTTTCTCACCATAGCAAACTTGGTAGCTTTAAGACTTGTGGACTTCAACTCCCAGGATTCTTCAGCCAGCAATGCTGGCTGAAGAATCCTGGGAGTTGAAGTCCACAAGTCTTAAAGCTGCCAAGTTTGAGGACCCCATGGAACAAGCCAATTTAACACATTGCATGAACCAAATAATAGTTTGTCTGCTGTACTTTCCCTTCCAACCACTTTTTTTTTTTTTTTGCAAAATCAGTAACTGGGATGGCCATCGGGATATTGACGAAACCTGCAGATTTAAATGAAAATAGATGATAGCTTTAACTCTGGAAGTTGGAAATAACACTCAAAGCAATTTTGGAAAGAGAGAACTGGGCCGAAAGCATCAGAATAAAATTAATCAAGAGGCAAATCCAAAGCTTTAGGAAGCAAAAAATAAAATGCATAGCAGTGATGGGTTGCTACCGGTTCTCCCAGGTTCTTGCGAATCGGTAGTGGAAATTTTGAGTAGTTCGGAGAACCGGTAAATACCACCTCTGCCTGGCCCCTCCCCCAATCTATTCGCTGCCTTCCGAGTCCCAGCTGATTGGCTGGAAGGAAAAAATCAGGGCTCACATGACAAAGAAGAGGGGGAAAAAAACAAGACACCGAAGCTTTAAATTGAGAAGCCAAGAAGCCTCCCAACTGATTGGCTAGAACCGATCCTCTCCTTGTAAACCTCTCAGTGGCGGTAGATTGGCAATTGAGGCCAAGCGGCCTGAAAGCGGTTTCCGATGCTCTCGGTGGTGGCAGAGCGGCAAAAAACTGTTTAAACTCTTGCCGCGGCGCTTCGAAGGGCTGCCCTACAGCTGATCAGCGGTAAAAGGCAGTGTGGTGGTAGACCGGTGCCTCCAAAAACAAATGGGTAGACTGGTACGGCTCTGCAAGCAGTGAAAAACCTGGTAGACCAGTACCTCTGCTAAATCCTAAAGAAATATTTGTCATATGACCATCAAACCACACCCACAAAATAAGCCACGCCCACAGAACTGGTAGTAAAACATTTTAGAACCCACCCCTGATGCATAGGTATATTTTTTTAAAATAATGAAATTATCATTGAATCATGAGTGTCTCCTGACATACAGCATACTTGCATGGTATGGGAGCAGCTCTGCAGCTGATATAAAATCTCTACAGAGAATTATTAAAACTGCCCAGAATATCATCAAGCTCCAGCTACCAGCCCTGGATGACATCTTCGCATCTCGCCGTTTGAGGAAGTTGCACAACATTCTCAGAGACTCTTCCCATCCTGCTTACAATCTTTTTGGACTGTTGCCTTCTGGCAGAAGATACAGAACAATTAAAACTCGGACCACACGTATCCTGAAGAGTTTTTATCCCAGAGCTATAATTGCACTCAACAATGAACTAAAGGGCCACCACCAGTGAGCTGTTGGACAGCATTACTTGGTTTGTTGTTTGGGTGGTTTAGGGGTGGGGAATTTGTGGTGGGTGGGTGGGGGGTATCTGAGGATTGTCATGTGTGTTGGGCTTGGTCTCTGGGTGTTATGTGAATTTCGTTGTATGGGTATACTGCGTACAATGACAATAAACTTAATACATATTTATATATAGAATGGAAAGGCTGAAGAAATTTTGGAGATGCTGTTTCAGTGTTTCTTACTTTTCCCTTCCTGGACCCCTTACCACTTTTAAAAAGTATGAAGGATTTAGCATATTATTTTTAATATGCTAAATATCAATAAATTCCTCCCATACAAAAAAAAGTATTTTATTGCCTTTTTTTGTATGGGAGGAATTTATTGATTTTTAGCATATTAAAAATAAAAAAACGGATGCATTCATAGAATACTGGTGTAAAACTCATATTAAGCCCATTGTTTATTAACATGCTTCATGAAAAGAATGTTTTTTTAACAAATAAACAGCATCCCTTGGATGGTATTCTTTTAACAATTTGTATCGTTGAGTTCTTGCTCTCTGACTTATTTCCTTGCAGGTGTTTCATTACCCAACTAGGAAACACCATCCCTGCAAGTCAGTGTGGGGTTTGCTTCCTGTTTATATACAGTAGTTTGCCCTGCCAGTTTTGGGGAGGAGTATTTAATGTAATGTAATAATAATAATAGGGACACAGTGGCTCAGATGCTAAGTTTGTCAATCAAAAGGTCAGCAGTTCGAATCCCTAGTGCTGCATAACGGGGTGAGCTCCCGTTACTTGTCCCAGCTTCTGCCAACCTAGCAGTCCAAAAGCTTGTAAAAAATGCAAGTAGAAAAATAGGGACCACCTTTGGTGGGAAGGGAACAGTGTTCCGTGCACCTTTGGCGTTGAGTCCTGACGGCCACATGACCACGGAGACGTCTTCAGACAGCACTGGCTCTTCGGCTTTGAAACAGAGATGAGCACCACCCCCTAGAGTCGGGAACGACTAGCACATATGTGCAAGGGGAACCTTTACCTTTACCTTACGTTTCAGGAAAATTCCATCAGAATGTTTGAAAAAGCTTCTTATGGGGTAAGAACAGGGCATCTAATGACATGAAGAAGTGGATAGACTCAACCAGAGACTAAGATAGCCATCTGTCTGGGATGCATTTTAAGATTGCTGAGGTGAAGAAACCATGCTGTACTATAATAAAATAATATTCTTGGAATCCTGCAATGTTTCTTTCTTCATTTGACCTACCTTAAAAGTTTAATATCAAGTCTTTAAACCCTTTTATTTTATTGCTTTTCAGAATATTGCATCAGGTTTTTTTTTAATGCTATCTTAGTTGCATCTCTTCTATTTCTCTTTTCCTGTATTTGCTGAATTGAGCATGATGTGTTTCAGAGGAAGCAAATTTTCTGAGAAGTAAAGGTTCAAATGAGGGGAAGGGAAGGGAAGGGAAAGAAAAAGGAAAGGAAAGAAAAAAGAGAAGGAAAAAGGGAAGGAAAGGAAAGGAAAAAGAAAACAAAAGGAAAGGAAAAAGGAAAGGAAAGAAAAGGAAAAAGGAAAGGAAAATGGAAAATGGAAAGAAAAAAGGGAAGGAAAAAGGAAAGGAAAGAAGGAAAGCAAAGCAAAGGAAAAAGGAAAGCAAAGGATTTTTAATTTGAAATAACAAAACTTTATAGGACCAATCCATTTTCTCTTCTTCAGGTTGCAATCACTCTAGAACTTAATTCCTGGTCAAGTGGACTGAGACAATACTAGTAACTCAACAAAGCCTAATTTGCTTGTAGATCCTTTCTGATCTACAGCATTATAGCTGATGGAGTTATTGGCCTTTCGATTTATGCTACGCCCCAACTGACCACCAGAGAAACTAGATTAAAGAATGCTGCTCTCTTTGAATACCTGCATTTTTTTATAAATAGGCTCAATTTTATGGCCCCTTCATGACTTGTGGACTTCAACTCCCACAACTCCTGAACCATCCATGCTGTACTAGACCAAGTGTGCATCTCAGGTACAATGAGACTACAATTCCCAGCCAGCACAAAGCTTCTGCAAATTGCAATCCCAGCGTTACCTTAAAAAGCACCAAGGTGAGAATAACTGTCCCAGAAGAAAGTTAAATCAAAAATAAAAACTAACCCTCCACAATTTTTCAATCTAGCATTGTTTCCTCCCTTTGTATGTCCTGTTTCACCCCTTATTGTTGCATTTCTGATGTTTATAGAAAGATATTCTGTTATTCTTTTTTAAAAAATCAAGTTAAGCCTGCAGTTTGCTAGTGTCAATCAAGGTTACGCAGCAATAGTTTAAACCAGGGGTGAAATGCTGCCGGTTTGGACCAGATCGCCCAATCCGGTAGCGATGGAGGCTGGTGGTTCAGAGAACCGGTAGCGAAAATCCCTGCCCCCCCCATGCCCAGCTGAGCTGCACTATCATCAGAGGCTTTTTAAAAAAAATAAAAAATAAACATTTTTTCTACAATCTCTTCGGCTGAAAACATGCTTTTAAAAGTAAAAAAAAAAAGCCTCTGATGATCGCACGACTCAGCTGGGATCGTTTAAAAGCCTCTGACGATCCAAGCTGAGTTGCCTGATCGTCAGAAGCCTCTTTGCTGAAGAGGTTGTAGAAAAAATGGTTTTAAAAGTAAAAAAAAAAAAAAATTGGCCATGCCCACCCAGTCACATTACCCCCCCAAGCCACGCCCACAGAACCGGTAATAACAAATTTTAGATTTCACCACTGGTTTAAACCCGCTTAATAAAACAGACCATGCAATGCTCAATTTCAAATAAATACACGCACGTCCATATCCACACAAATCAAAGCTACACAGACAGATGTGTTTTGTGAACATTCTGTATTTACACATCCACGCTTCCTTGTAACAGGTTAAAAAAAAAAACTGTTTTGAACACAAGACTAGAATTGCCATCAGTTTAAAACTTTCACAATTATTTAGAAGTGCAAAATTACATGCGCATGTGTGATGCGGGTTTTGTTTCTTTTATTATTATTATTATTGCTGTTCTGTTGCGTGGC